GAATCATTCATTCAGTTGATTCGTTCGAACGGCTGAATCATTCAGGAATGAAGCAAGTGACTGTCTTTATGAACTGACGGAAATCCGTTGTAGCGACGGAACACTTTAATCCCTGGATAAAGTAGCGTTCATGAGCGGAGCTGATTTGATTATAGCCGTTACCGGGGAAACCGCTAGTTCTACCGCTCTCACAGCGCCTCCTGCTGGCAGACAATGAGTTTGCATTTTCAATAATAAGCCCGTCTTCAGCAAGATTTCCAGTTTTTATTGTTGTTCAATTTTTTTTAATTTTTTTTTCTGCAGCGACTTGGAGCACTTTTTATACCCTTTTTTTTCTGACTGAAGCACATTTGTTTCAATCTATAAGAATAATCAGCCTACACTACCAGTCAAATAGAAAGATCAGCATTTCTGAAATAAAAAGCTTTTGTAACACACTTTTCCATTCAAAAGCTTAATTGAAGAAATGATAGAAAATTAATACTTTTATTTAGCAAGGATGCTTAAAATGGATCAAAAGTGATGATAAAGGCATTTATAATGTTACAAAAGATTTCTATTTCAGATAAATAGTATTCATATCGATATCGGAATTTTATCGTATCGACCAAAATTAAGAAACATATCGTGATATAAATTTTGGCGATATCGTCCAGCCCTAGTTTAGAGATAAGTTGATTACTGCAGAGGGTGTGTCATCTCCCAGTCTCTTTCATGCAAACTATCTTCTGTCCCAAAAGGTGTTAACTCGGCTTGATCAATACAAATTCAAATTGTTAGTTCCTGTCTCCATTCTGGAGAATGTTTGTCTTGGTCTGAGCTAGGTACTTAAGGAAATGTTGCAAGAAGCTCGGGGCTTTTTTCTGTAGTCAAAAGCCCATAGCGTAGAGCAGTGTTTCCCAACCGGGGTGCCGTCTGTCGAGAGCAGGGGTGCAGCGTAAAAAAAACTTTTTTTAATATTTTTAAATTGCTAAAATGTTCAAAAAAGCATCTATTATATAATATCCATTTCTGATGTCGCCAATAATTAGAGATGCACTGAAATTTCGGCTGCCGAAAATTAGTTCACCGCTCAGGTTTCACTTTCACGTGTTGTGACGCTCTGTGTATTATCCGCTCTATGCGTGTGCGCTCCGCTCAGTCGCTCCACTCGTATACCGTTCATGCGAATCGGAACAGCAAAGTCCACTCAAAAATTGAGCCGACAGGAAACATCGATGTAGTACAGTATTGTTTCTGTCTGCAATAGCCCTACTGTGTTGTAACAAGGTGTGGTATATGGGCAACTCTGGTAACGCTGCCCTCTCATTAATTGATCTGCTAACC